CGGAGTTGGAGTTGGAGCGGAGTTGTGAGAAACGAGGTAGAGTTGGAGTGGAGTTGCTTACCCCCGGAGTTACCCATCTTTGTGTGGGTGTCAGAGTAAGGTTAATGGAATACCCGCACACACCCACACTCACGCCCACATCCACCCGCACCCACGTCCACCCACACCGACTCACCCTTTATAAAATCTTCCTCTATTTTAGACTGAACAAGAATTAGATGATTTAAAATCTATTCATTCAAAAACATTACATGATTATGATGAATTACAAAAACAAGCTTCAGCTCTTCGATCACGTTGTAATCAATTAGAAAGTGAACGTTTACCTTTAATTGCTCAACTTGAATTTGCTGATAGAAATTTACGACAAGTTAAAAAACAACAACAGCAACAACAACAAACAGCAATGACAACAAGTACAACTGTTCATCATCAACCACCCGCTGTTTTACAATCAATTGAAAATAATAATAAATCAATTTCACGTCTTATTCGTTCACCAAGTCTTGATATGCGTGTTATGCGTCGTACAAGTAAAATACATATTCTTTTAATTATCATAAATATTTTTTTGTATATTTAGATGATAAAATGGATGATACACGTTCATTAGATCATGATGATTTAGCATTACTTTTACATAAAAATCAATCCTACAATAATTTTCCTTTGTAAATAAAATATTTCTTATTAAATAACACTATTTTGTATCTTCTTTATTTTTTAGAAATACTCGTTCAACTGATCTTATAACAAAATATGGTAAAAAGATTCTTTTTTTTAATTATTCTTATTATCTGTTTGTTTTAATAGAAATAGAAAATGAAGATGAACCAATTCATCTTGACTTAGGTCCAATTGATTATGATCGACGTATGACAGAACTACAACGTCGAAATCTTAGTCAACCAAAACATTTACGTACAGCTTATGCACTTGAAACCATGGAACGAGATCCAGATCAATTTTCAGCTAGTTTTATTCGTAAAGGTGGAGCAATTCATGATGAACAATCAGTACGACAAAGAATTATTAATGAAAATAAAAATGGATCTGAAGTAAGAAATTCTTAATTAAATTTCTATTAAAATTATTCGATTTTATTTTATAGACACCAAAAGCATCACGATTTAAGAATCTATTTAATCGTAAATGAAATTTTTCAATTCATATCACAAATGACACATGTACATTTATACAAAAATTTATTCTTTTCCTCCTCTAATTCAAATTAAATGTATGACTTTAGAAAAATATATCTATCTCAGTTAATAAAAATAAAACATGATTATATTGTATTCTTAAAAATAAAAATAATCATGTGAACATATTAAGCTAAATTTATTTCTTCCATTGTATAGAAAAAAACATCAATCTGAATACAAGAAAAAATGGTTTATAATTGTTCTTTGGTTTTGCGTAAAAATTCATTTAATACTGTTGGATTGGAGGCGAACTGATGAAGATCTTTTCCATTTAAAATAATATCGATATTTGATTTCTTCTGTGTCATAAGAAGAAGTTCAATTGATTTAAGTGAACGATTCATATCTTGAAATACTTCTTTTAGATCGTTTGAATTCGAAACACTATTTGTTAAACGACTAAGTTTAGTATCCGTTATTTGTCCATGAAAAAATATATATGCGAGAAGAATAATTATTAAAATAAAAATTGTAACACCAAATATTTTATTTGTTGTTGAAGAAGCTTGACGATTAGGTTGATAATGAAGAGTCATAGGTTCTATAACTGATATTGTTCTTTGATCAGCAAAACTAGATACTGGTTGTTCAAGAGATCGATTATTATTATTATTCGCCATATTTAATAATACGAATGTTATCTATACTATTGTGTAGCGTAATCAATGTTTGAAATGGGTATTATTTTTTTTGCGTTTATTTCTTCATAGTATATGTATCTCATAAAAAAAACGTGACTTATTAAATGCTTCTATTTTTCTTCTTACTGATACATAATAATTTATTGCCTAAGATAGATGATTCATAACCTTTGCACTTGTACACTGATTGTAAACAAATTGTAATATATTAATCGCATTATTTTATTCTAAACTATTTATTATCAGATTTTATTTGTTAATACTATGGCATCGCTCAAAATACGACTATATGATTCAAATCTCACTATCGAAGACACGTAGCCGGATACGTGTCTTTCAATATTTAATAAGCTAATAGCTATTACTGTAAATCATCTTTGCAAATTTATGAAAACTGTTGTAATTAAAAAGTTTGATGTATCACATGAAAAACACTTATTTGATATTAAGGCAAAAAAGAAATAGATATCATTTGAAGGGTGTGACATATAGATTGTTTTAAATGGAATACGACAGTTAATAGGGGCTTCTGCGAAATAAATATGACTTGTTTTTTATTTGAATAAGGCATTTGAAAATATGATCTGATAGAGGCGTATACATAGGACAATAACTTATTAATTCGATTGTTGAGTAAGCTTTTTATCCTCTATTTGATTTATTTTTAAATGAAATTGAATACTATATGAAAAACAATAACAATCTATGTCATATATAAACCCTCCGAATATCACAGACAAACTCAGTCAAGTTTTGTTCTATATTCAATTGAAAGAATGGTTTCATTATATACTTCCATTATTCTCATTGTTGGTTTAGTTGCACCAATCATCGCACAAAGTTGCTCGGATAACGGTGCAGCAGGTACCTGTAAGGATGCATCAACATGTACAGGTAGAACAGTAAGTGGTTTATGTCCTGGTGCATCTAATATTAAATGCTGTATTGCTACTGCTGCATCAGCAGGTTCAAGTGCCGGACTTTGTGGTGGTTATACAGGTGCCATTGTCAGTTCAATTGCTGGTAATGATAATGTTATGTATTCAGTAGTTAAAATAAAAGCTGAACACTTGACTACTCCAAGCTCAGCTTCATTAGCACCAACTGCATCAGACAACACCATGACAACATCAACAGCCTGTGCTTTTGACACTATGGCTACAGCTGCTAAAAATGCTGGTGTATCAGTTAAAATCAGTTCTGGTTTCCGTACAATTGCTCGTCAAGAATATTTCTGGAATTGTTATCAAACAAAATCATGTAACAATGGTAATTTAGCTGCTCGACCAGGTTCATCAAATCATGGCAAAGGTATTGCTCTTGATATAAATACTGATTGTGGTGGACAAACAGGTGCAAAACCAAATTGTGGTGGAAGTGCTGTTTATCAATGGTTGTATAATAATGCTCATAATTACGGATTTACTCGTACAGTTCAAAGTGAACCATGGCATTGGGAATTTCGTGGTATTGGTGTTGCACGCGCTACCTTTGCTTAAAAGATTATTGTTGAGAAAAAATCATTTTTTCTTTTGAATGATAATAAAAAAATTGAAATAAAATAACATCACTAGTTCATATATAAAGTCCGACTAAGCAATAATATAAATATGAGCGATTGAGAACATTTTTGATTATTCCATTTTAGAATATTTCACATACTCAAATATTTTGCCGTTCTTATCGCCGAAAAAAGTATCAGAATATTATTAAACTCAGACAGATCAAATTGTCAATATTTGTACCCAGATTTTGATTAATATATATTAGGAGAACTAAGTACATCGTACAAGTACGACATCTACAAAAATAATCTTTCAGAATTCTCTCGTTTTTTTATTTGAATACTGAGTACTCACTATGTCTCTTATGATTCAATTATTATGCGGTTTATCTCTTTGAGGAAAACGATAGTTATCGTCTTGAAAACGTTCTCTAGATTTAAATAACTATAAGGATGGAGGATGCACCAATCACTATTGATATTGATGACCAATCAGATGCCATGCTTATATACAGGCACTCTGGCATTTTCTAGGTTCTTCTATCATTTTTGATAATATGATAAATACAACGATTTTCCATTAGTTTCAGATTATTCAATCACAATGTTCGTCCAAAAACGAGTATTCAACGCATGTTTAAAACATTTAACACCACGAATTAATCATGAACAATCATCTATAATTCGAGTAAAATTATATTTCTCTCAATTTTTCTCTTTAAATCTCGGATTTTCTAGGCAACTATTCAAGCACAAAGTATTCGTAACAAAAGGTAAATTCTATATAAAACGTATTTAATACAATCTGTCAGAAAATTTCTTTAGTGATTCAAAAGATGTGTCAAAAGCTAGTGGAGGTGGAGGTAAAGTTAAAGGTCATATCATTGGTATTGATCTTGGAACAACAAACTCATGTGTTGCTATAATGGAAGGCAAATCACCTAAAGTCCTTGAAAATGCTGAAGGTTTGTAAATATAAAAATGCTCAATTTAAAATCCATTAAAACGTATGTGTTTAGGTATGCGAACAACACCATCAGTAGTTGCATTTTCAAAAGATAATGAACGTCTCGTTGGTATGCCTGCTAAACGTCAAGCAGTAACAAATCCTCAAAATACATTCTATGCAACAAAACGTCTCATAGGAAGAAAATTTAATGATGATGAAGTTAAAAAAGAAATGTAAAATTGAAAGTTTAAAACTTAAGAAAATTTTCATTATTTTATTTCAAATAGGCAAAGTGTATCATTTAAAATTGTTCGTGCATCAAATGGTGATGCATGGGTTGATGCTAATGGTAAAACATATTCTCCAAGTCAAATCGGTGCTTTTGTTTTAATAAAAATGAAAGAAACAGCTGAGAATTATTATGGTTCACCTGTTAAAAATGCAGTTGTTACTGTTCCAGCCTATTTTAATGATTCACAAAGACAAGTTTGTTTCAAATCGAAATTTTTCGTTATTGTAAAAATTAATTTTAGGCAACAAAAGACGCTGGTCAAATAGCTGGTTTAAATGTTCTTCGTGTTGTTAATGAACCAACAGCAGCTGCACTTGCTTATGGTCTCGAACAAACGAATGATAAAATGTAAAAATAAGAAAAAAATTCTTTATCTACTAAGAAATATATGATTTATTTAGTATTGCTGTCTATGATCTTGGTGGTGGTACATTTGATATTTCAATTCTTGAAATGCAATCAAATGTATTTGAAGTACGTTCAACAAATGGTGATACATTTTTAGGTGGTGAAGATTTTGATAATACTCTATTGAAACATCTTGTCGCTGAATTTAAAAAAGAAGTAAAGAATTTTTCAATATTTATTTAAATAATTTTTTGGATTTTCTATTTTTGAAAAGAGTGGTATTGATATTACAAAAGATCCACAAGCAATGCAACGTTTAAGAGAAGCTGCTGAAAAAGCTAAATGTGAATTATCATCAGCTGCACAAGTAAGAAGAAATTTTGAAATAAATCAAATTTTGAAATATTTTATCTAGACTGATATTAATTTACCTTATTTAACAATGGATAAATCCGGTCCTAAACATATGAATTATAAAATAACACGTGCTCAATTTGAAAACCTTGTTTCAAATTTAATTAAACGAACAATTGGTAAGAATAATTTATTAAAGTCAATTTTTGATTAAAATGGTTTATATAATTTTAGAACCATGTAAAAAAGCCATCAAAGATGCTGATGTTAAAATTGCAGATATTAATGAAGTTATTCTTGTCGGTGGTATGAGTCGAATGCCTAAAGTAAGGACGAATTTAAAGATCAGTCATTCAGATTGAAACGAGTCAAGATTAACCTAGTGACAAAGCGAAACTTACTTTAGTTGATTCAGATATTGTTTTTATCGATGATAAGAAGTAATCATATTTTTATTCTTTGTATTCATAAGGTTCAACAAACTGTTCAAGAAGTGTTTGGTAAAGCTCCAAATAAATCTGTTAATCCTGATGAAGCTGTTGCTATGGGTGCTGCTATTCAAGTAAATTAAATTTTTTATCTAATTTGGTTTTATTTGATAAAAATATATACATTAGGGTGGTGTTCTTGGTGGTGATGTAACTGATCTTCTTCTACTTGATGTTACACCACTTTCATTGGGTCTTGAAACATTAGGTGGTGTATTTACTAAACTTATTAATCGTAATACAACCATACCAACCAAGAAGAGTCAAGTAAATATTATTAGAAAATTTATCGATCAGCTTGTCTACGGAAGGGGTTGATTCTGTCACGGTCTTTTGTAATGAATGAAAAATCTAATTGATCGTAGATACTAAGTCATTTATGCGTAATAAAACAAGCAAAGCGTGACGCAATCACATTTCACGCGGACAAGCCGCAATTAGAATTACAGGAAAAAAAATATTTGATTTTTCTTAGGTTTTTTCCACTGCAGCTGATGGTCAAACACAAGTGGAAATTAAAGTACATCAAGGTGAACGTGAAATGGCTGCAGATAATAAATTACTCGGACGATTTAATTTAGTATGTTTGAAAAAATCTTTCTTTTCCATTAAAAAATTCCTTTCTATTCTTTAGATTGGTATTCCACCTGCACCACGTGGGTAAGAAAATCAAAAAAATATAGTTGAAATCAAAATCTAGATTTTTGCATTTTAAATTAGTGTTCCACAAATTGAAGTTACATTTGATATTGATGCTAATGGTATTGTACATGTATCTGCTCGTGATCGTGGTACCGGAAAAGAACAACAAAGTAAATCGAAAATATTTTTTTTAATTAATTAATTTTGAGTTTTATTTTGTTTACAGTTGTTATTCAATCAAGTGGTGGTTTAAGTAAAGATGACATTGAAAATATGGTTCGTGCTGCTGAAAAACATTCAGCTGATGATAAAAAACGTCGTGAAATGATCGAAGAAGTTAATCGTATCGAATCAATTTTACATGATACAGAATCCAAAATGGAAGAATATAAAGACCAATTACCAGCTGATGAAGTAAAAAACAACTAAATAAAATTTTATATGAAATTATTATTGTTTTTCATTATAGTATTCAAAATTAAAAGAAGGTGCATCGAAATTACGTGAAAAATTATCGAATAAAGATAGTGAATCGGTACAAAGTGTAAAGGAAGCTGCTGATGAATTTCAAAAACAAAGTTTGAAATTATTCGAAACTGCTTATAAAAAGGTATGCATCAATTTTTATTTCATTTATGATCAATAATGTTTTTTTTTGCTTTAGATGCAAGCTGATCGTGAAGGTTCACAATCATCATCATCATCATCGTCCTCGTCAGATCAGCAATCATCATCATCGGATCAACAATCATCTGATGAAGATAAAACTAAACAAGATCAACAAAACAAATAAACATGTTTTTCAATAGTTTTTGTTCCTTATAATCGTTTGATTGTTTTTTTTCTAGTTCTGCATTATAATAAAAAACCAGGTTATTTAATGAAAATGAATTTTTTTATTTCATAGAATGAAAATAATTTAAGTATATAGATTCACCTAGTTAATATATGTTATTAGAGAATACAAAAGTTTTTTATCAGCGGCATACGGGGGCATAGCTCAGTGGTAGAGCGATCGCTTCGCATGCGATAGGTCGTGAGTTCAATCCCCACTGCCTCCATTTTTTGTTTTAATTATCATAGATAAAATACAAGATTGAATATTTCGTGGTACTTAATTTTATTTTATACAAAACTAACAAAAAGGAACACTGGTTTTTATCTATCAAAAACAACGGAAAGGAAAGACTAGAATTCAAACACGAATTTGATTATATTCCCAATCAGTGAGCATTTTCCATTGTCGTCCAAATAATATTGTTACAGCATCTTCTACTTGATTATATTTTCGACAATTTTTTTCTAACCATATATGTATAAATTCATTATTATCACCGTTTTCATTAAATAAATATTTACGATATTCATTTCGTAAAATAACACAATTTCGACGAAGATAAAATTGTTTAAGATTATTTCTCGTACCATAATAAGCTATAAGAAGACAAGTTGCTGTTGAAATTCGTTCTTTAATTGCTATTGTATGTAAATATCGAAATGTTTTTACAGCACCTATATAAGCTGTATCAGCACGTTCTAAAAATGAACGTGGTACATAAACTCGACACATTGATTTTAGATGAGCCTAAAAAAATAGGATTATGATAAAAATATTGTTCTCTTCGATTCCATTAACATTTCAACTTATGCACTCAATCCTGAATAGAAATTTACCGAAGAATTTTATTTCGATAAGCTTTAGTTAAGATCTTCAATAGTATGAAATAGACTTTATACAAGTTACAAGAATAATTTATTGAACACAATGATAATAGAAGACAACGTAACTAGTTTTGTTTCAATTGTAGTTAGATGTAAGTGTTATCACTGAGATCGCATCTTGAGAAGATATTACACCCTAATACATCCAGGACAGCATTGTGATCTGATCTAGGAATCGAATCATAACAGAGAACGTTTCA